TGACAAAAAAATGATTCAAAAACAATTAGAAAGAAAGAAAACGCGAACAATTTTAAATAATTAGCAAGGGAAGAAGTGGAAAAACGGCCAGAAAACAGTGAATATAAAGGGGATAAAAAGAATAGAAAATGAAAATATATACAGGGATCCGAAAGTCTTGTCACCCTACATAATATAATTTTCTGTTTCAGATGGCTAACACGACATCCTCTAGCTTGGAAGAGAAGTAAGTGGTGACAAGCTTTTCTGACCACCTTGTACATTAGAATAACAAAGGAATTCAAGAGAGGAAAGAGAAAAAGTACCACGGAACAGAAATAAATAAATTAGAAAACAAAATAGAAAGACAGAAATAAGAAAAACGAAAATAGAAAGAAAGAAATAAGAAAAACGATTCTATTTAGAAAGCAAGAAATAAATTAGAAAGGATGAAAATAGTAAGAAAGAAAATAGAAATAACAAAGAAAAAAGAAAGAAATTAGCAAAAAAAAACAAAACAAACACAGCAGAAATAAGGAAAAAAAGAAATTTGAACGAACCAAAATAGAAAGAAAAAAACAGAACTAAATAAAGGAAGAAAGAAGACAAACAAACCAACTTGTAAAAAAAATAACAAACAAAAAGCAAATGGATGAATAAAAACTGGTAATTTTTCAAAGTTGGCAGACCATTCTCCTCTACGATGATTGACGCAAGACAATCTTACCGAAACATTTCCCTTTAATATAATCGTATAACGTATTAAGCTAATAGTATTTAATATGAATACAAAATATAATATGAAATACATCAAAGCAAATTAAGAAATAAATATAAAGGATTTGCTTCGGGACTAAAATTGGAATTGGTACTTTTGTTTTCCAAAAGTAGGTCCTTCGAAGTTGGCACCCCGCAATCTTCCTCGTCCGATTTCACAGTTTTGTCAGTGTGCCATGAGAAATTAAGCGAAATAATCTTCATGGTGTATTTTGTTTAAAATAAGATTCTTATGAAAGGCAAAGTGTTAAGAAAAGGAGAAAGAAATAAGACAAAAACACGCTGAAAAATATAAAAAAGAGTATACATATACAAACCAATTTACAGAAATAGTTATAAGTGAAAGAAAGAGAAATAAATATAATTTACTGATAGAACAGAACTAATTAAAATGAAAAAAAAGGAGAAAACTAGAATAAAGAATGAGGAAAAAATTATCACCTTCTACAGAAGGTGAGAATGTGTATAAAGACAATGATAAATATTAAAAGATGTTCCTCCAAAAGAATCGAAAGAAAAGGCAATAAAGAAAAAGCAAAATGTATGAAATAATAAAAAAAAACAGAAAATAAGTATAAAAAACAGGATGAAAATATTTACAATAACTGTAAAAGCACAAAATAATGCATAAGGGAAAAATGGGATTAAATATTGAAATCGTTTAGAAATATCAACGATGCTGCTGGTAAAAATAAATACCACACGACTTATGGCAGCCCACTGATATTTGATACTAGTACAAGCTCATTTAACGAGGATTCTCTGTGAATAGAAATCAAGGCTGAAGCGATTCAAAAAGGAATTCCTTGCATATCATTCTTTAAAAAATAAGTTCTGCTTTATGATTTTAATCATGTCAAAGGCTACTATAGAGTCCAAGACAGAATAGTCGTCACGGTTATAAATGCTCGCGACAGGGCGCCTATTTAGAAAAACTATGAATCCAGTTTTCTAGAAATGTTATCTTATACACGAAAACTATGTAAACGAATAATTATTCCAGCATACACTAATTAGAAATTTCTCATATTACCAAACAGCCGTTATATGACACTAGATTTTTACTAGCTTCGATATACGTCCTTGAGCCCAAATGAGACACGTCAAATTAGTAAATATTTAGAATAAAAGTAAAAAAAAAAAAACAACTCATTCTTCTCAACAAAAACAGATTGGATTCCGCCTTGGGTATAACGATGAACTACGTCCGCATTTTGGGTAGGACGATAAAGTACGTCCAACTGCAAGGCCTCTGATCAGGAGGTTTTGAAGAGCGTGTAACCTCTTAGTTGCTGCTGTTCCCAGGTCCACCCTGACCTGAGGTAGTAGCACCTGTTAGTGTCCCATCTATAGGCAAATATTAATCCTTAATCTGGGCTTAAAACACTATGAAAGTGTAAAAATGTGTTTTAATATCAGAAATACTTTGTAAAAAATATTACCAGCAATAGATTTTTGAAGAAAAAACTTATTTTCAGCAATCAGTCAGTGTCATGCGTGATACACGCTTAGGCGATCATGTATTTTTCAATACTTGATGATAAGGCAGATTTTTTTTCCTGCAGTAGGTTGCCATTTCTTTCTGCGGTAGACCGGTTGCTATCTAAGCCTATAGAACCCGGTCTGTCCTGCTGTTTACCCATAAAGAGGAGAAGAATGTTCATATCTTTTCCAAGGATATTATCACGTAAATGAATGTGAATGTAATGGATTCGACTGGAATTCGAACTCGCCTCTCCGATTCTTCAATCCGAGCCGCTATCTATTAACACACTGTGCCTCCTTTTCAGCAATATATTTTTAAAAAAATTACCATTAATACATTTTGGAAAAAAATATCACCAGCCATAAAATTTTGTCGGCATTAAATAACATTGATATGCCGTAAAACAAATCAAACCAAACAGATTGGATTATGCCGATTTGATTAACACGGCTCGGCTCTTGCAGACATTAACGCCCGTTAAACCTCACTTGAACTTCATGAGATGTGCAGGTGGTGAAAATGGTAGAAGTTTCGAATTAGAAATTGAAAAATTTTCTTGTAATACCAGTCGAGTTAATTACATCCACTTAACCCATAAATATATTTGGCATAGGTATGAAAGTATCCCCACCTACCAGTGAAGGGTTACAAGTCTAGGAAAAGCACAGATCTGATATGGAAAGAGCTATAACAGCTATTAGACTTAAGAAACTTAATTTCCTGATTTTTTTAAGATAAAGATTGAATAATTTTCAACCGACATTCGTACCGCCTGTTTGGTCAATGGATGCCGAATGTTTCCTTGCAAGGAAACGGTTATTATTACCATTACTACTAACCCCGGTGAAGCAAATGCTATATGCAGCCAATAAGAGGATCGTGAACTTCACAGTGACTATGTGATCCCAACCGCAGTCGGCCTTCTTGATGTAAACCTTATTAATAATCTTCGGAATATTGTAAACACTTTGGAATTTAAAGGTTGTTTATTGGTATCGTTAGGTGAGTGTGTGTTCACATCTAAATAATTAATATCTACAAAAGTTAGGTTTGTAAGACAGATCATTTATACTATTTTTTTCGAAACTGTAGGGAAAGAACGTTTTCTATGTCTTTTGGGTGTGAGGTTTCTTTTTCTGATTCGGAAGTAAGTTAGGTAAGTAATGATAAGCATGGTTATAATGGTCAAACTCAATTCTTCCTTGCGCTGAGAATGACCAAAGAAAAGTTTGTACTTACTTCAACGTTGCAGTGTCGGCAAAACCCGTGCGAACGCTATGCGCTGGGATGTTGAAGAGCTTTTTTTTTTTGGTCTAGCATTACGTTAGTATAAGTAAGGATAAGAATGGTTACAATGGATAAGCTTAATTATGTTGACCATGTTTGCCGTAGTATTTGAATATAAAATCCAGTGCAGTACGTAATGTGTTCAATGGAACAACGCCAATATCTCTTGTAGCAGCTGTTCAATAATTCTTCAGGTCTTCGATATCAGAGGTTGGCAGTAAATATTCGGAGAAAGTAGCAGCTGTTAAGTAATTCTTCAGGTCTTCGATATCAGAGGCTGGCAACTAACATTCCGCCTTTATACACGTCTCATTGAATATCCTGAGCCTTCTGATTGGTTAACTCATCTAATTGGTGAACTATAAAATGAGTCAGCTCATTGTGGCTAGCTCACTAGTACACAAAGTACCCAAAAATTAGTTAGTACTTACTTCATCGGCAGTTATAAATATTGAGGACAAATCAGCCTTGCGTGGAGTTGGAGCAATTAAAACTTTTCTTACTTTATAGGTCAGTCAACTGTTGCATCTTGGAGTAAGAGGAAGAAGAGAAACTTCTGTTGTCAGTCGACCAAGAGAAAGATAACTTCCACATCTTGAAGAAAGTGGTGGGAAGAGAGAAAAAGGAAGAAAATTGTCATATTTTTATAAAACTTAAACAGCGACACCTAATTGAAGTTTGGCGAAACCAAATGCGATAATAAAATTTACGGTTTCTTTATTAATAGACAAGCGTATCGTGGGAAATCTGCGGTTGCTTAACTGTGCTACATATTCAGGAAGTCAAAATCAGGTTACAACATTTAAATAAACGGTTAGTGTAGAAACAGTAGAGGGAAATGCAACAGAAATCCGAAGGCGATAAAAAATAGCGAAATATGTTAGCGTTATGAAGGGACATGGCACATAACAGCAGAAGAAGATCTTAAGTGATAAGAAAATGTAATTAGCAAAACGAAAGAGAAACTGTTATGTGATATCTAATATCTTTTATGGCTGTAAATGTAGACAGTACTCATCCCACAGATGCAGAGGTGACTTTAGCGATACAGACGTGGTTCTACTGATGAATGCTGAAAGCAATTTCGAGAGAAGAGACGAGCAAATCTTAAGGTAAATAAAAAAAAAGGAAAACATAATTTAAAAAAAAATACTGGGACGCATAATAAATAAACTGATAATGAGAATTTAACAAAGAAATTAATTAAATACTTAAATGTATAAACTTTGAATGTCAAATCTTCCGAAAATCAGCTGTATACGAAAGAAAAATGAAAAACCGTCGAGATAAGCAGTAACAGTTTTAACCTGATTTTGAAAAGTATTGTCTCACTAATACAATATTACGTCATTTTCTTCTTTTCATTTAAGTTATTCCAGATACTTCGTCATATACTGTATTAATATAGGCTAACACGGAACAGTACTAGTTCCAATCATTACGGATTTTGAATAAGTTCTTTCCATCGCTAACGACCATATCAAGTTGAAAAACCGATCCCATCCGATTAGCGAAGTTAAGCAACGTTGAACATGATACGTACCTAGATGAGTGACCACTTGGAAATAACAGGTGTTGTAATCTTTGATGTGCAGGTGGTGCAATGTATAATGGTTCGGAATGAGAAATTGGAGATGAGTTCAAATTAAAGTCGGTTTCGTATTTTCAATTACGTACCATGGGAAAGGTGTGAAGACATCGCTTTTCGTCCTTGTTCTGTGTTAAATATTAAGACATTCATGAGAAAATAATTATTATCTCTAAAAAAATTATTATAATCCACACATGTACCAAAGCTTATACGCACACTGAAGAAAAAATGTCTATTTGCTTCAGCCAGTTTCGAAGCACGGCCGTAAATTCTAGTGTGACGGATATATACACGGGCACTATTCGCTCATTTTATTAATCTTTTTCGTTCTTTAAATAATGTTATTGATAAGGTTTCTTGATGGCATATTGGAAAATATCCGACGCCACTTATTAACTCTCTAAACAATTTCAGTATTATGTCCTTTTTTAAAATTTACCATTAAAGAAATTTAAATTAAAATACCTAAATTTCTTGGATAATTATATAAAAAGATCATTAAAAATTTTTCCGATAATTTTGAAAATTTTTAATATATTCACTTTAAATTTTATTTACAAATAATTTGTAGAATTAAATATATCAGCATTGAAATTTGTCTGTTGGCAGAACCAGACGGGATTGTGTTTTTTTTATTTTACGATTCAGAACAAGTTTTCGGTAACTGTGGTTTTTATTTTACAAAAGTAAATTGGATATTTAATTCTCCGTGGAGACAAGCGTATCACTAACATAAATATTAAGTGATACAAAAATGAATTACTTGAAATTTCATACAATAAATGGTCATAAACAGACGTAAAAAAAGTATTTTTACAAAGATTTTTTTAATAAAGATATATTTCTAAATTAATTCAATTAATCTGTGAATAAGTCCTGAAAGTAATGTTATAATCTGATAATTCTTTCATTTGTTCGAATAATTTTCAAGTTAATGTGTTTTTCCCTTTAAAGAAGCTACAATTTTCTATGATAATCTGGTGAAACTTTAAACCAAAATTTCACATTCTAAAATGGATTCAAAAATTTTATAATTAAAAAACAAAAAAACAAACCTTTTCTCTTAATAATAAGACAAAAAAAACTTTGTTTTATTAATTTTGAGGCATTTTTAGACAATCTCAAGATTACCCCAAATATATATATATATATATATATATATATATATATATATATATATATATATATATATATATATATATATATATATATGTATGTATGTATGCCGGTATATGTATATATGTTTTGTTAAAATACTCACAAAGTCTGCTAACGTTCCTGGTGCAAACAGAGTTCAATAAATTTACACAACGAAATGAACTGTAAAGTTCTTAAACGATCGATTTATTTAATAAATTTAGCTCTTTTTTTATCTTCTACGGATTCTTATATCAAAGAACAGAAGTAGTCTGATGTATATTGCACTTCCCTCTTCACCTGCCTATTGACCCAGTGCGAGTGGGTGCCAATAAAATACTTTGGCGACAACATATAATAACTGCTACTTTTCAGTACACCCACACACAAAAAACGTATGGTAGATACATGCCTTTTGGTATCATTTAATTCAAAATCAATAAAAAGACCGATCTGTGTTATACAAAGGACCCAAACACCACTAAAAAAATGTCTTCGGCGTTTTTTGATTCACAGTTATACAGCAAACCTGATATGCTGTTGATCCTCAAGTTGAACTCCATCGACATCCATAATCTTTTGCCAACATGCCTCCACCTGCGCAATGGCCGAGCGGTACAAATCTGGTTTATTAGACGCAAATAAATGTGTTTTTGCCTGCCTCAATTTTCTCATTTGCGAAAGTTGCCCAGAGAATTGAAGACATGGTAATTTGAAGGCGTAGTGCCTTCCGGCGAAGTTGCCGTATGGTATGCCTGACAACACGCGCCACATGAGGCCTGGCATTCTTATAGACGGACAGTACACCGTTGCAATTAAACAATGCTGGCCCCTTCAGCTTCAATACGTGTCGCATACGTCACCCCTGTTTCAGGTATAGGTTCACAGCGATGATTTGTCCGTAGGTAGCAGTTCATAATGCACCACGATTTTTTAAAGTATTTAACCCCATGCAAGATGGGAGTGCCACTAGTACGCAAGGGGCTACAGAGAGTGAAAATAAGGGAAAAAACTGGGGGGGGTGCGATAAAAGATAAAAAGTAGTACGGAGAACGACAAAAAGAATAACGGGAGTCAAGGCACCAGATAATGTCGATTGATATTATATTTAAATTCTTAAAGATTTTAGTTATCAGGGAAGCAAGTAAGCGGAAGTGAGTTCCAATGTCGGGAAGATCAAGAGAAGAAGGTGTTGAAGTAGAAGAAGCAGTTACATTTAACTGTTTCGGCAGTAAAAGAGTGAGACCGTGATGCCAACATAATAGCATGCTTAAATTCATGGTGTCAGGGCACCAGTGAAAATAGCTCACCGGAGCAGATGCTATAAAAATATTTATAGAAAAGACAGAAGACCTTATCTCGGAGAGAAAGTGATTGGTGTCGAGAATCCAAGTCAGGACCGATCACATTGCAAATCCGTCTTTGCAAGTTGTACAGAACATCGAGATGAACATCGATGACACCAAGCCATATATGACAACAGTATTCAATGCAAGAACGAATGCCATACTCGTAGACTTGAAGGATGAACTCAAACGAGAAAAACCTCCTGATGCGACACAGAGAACCAAATTTACTTGCGGTAGTTGCAGCTATTAATTCAATGTAGTTGTTCCACCTCAGGTCAGTGGAGAACTTGAGACCAAGAAAGCGCAGCGAGGCGCTCTCGTGGATTTGAGCATCGATTAGATACATAGCGTGATCTTGCATTGGTGTAGTGGTGGTCATGTGGTGTCATGCAAAGGGTCCTATGGTGACAACTGTGACGTCGTCCCCCGGTCGCATCGTCGACTGTGCCGTTCTAACCTGATCTACCACGGCGCCAGTTGTGACGTCCCTAAACAGCACCAGTTGTGACGTCTTCGCCGCGGCGTCAGCTGTTCGCTCCTCGCTGCCCCGTCCGGGGGTCGCTGCTCTAAACGTGACGTTCTAACCCTTTTTGTGATCCGGGTAGGAATCTGGTTAGATTGATACCAGCCTCGCCGTTCCCAACCTGCTTCCAACGCCTGGTTACCAGGGTAACTGAACTGATCCCAAGTCTGCCTACCCACGTTGTGAATTGATCTTAGACAGACGAGATCAACAGGCGTTGGAGCCGTAATGCAAGCTGAGTTCAACGGGGGTGATATCACACAAATATGTATAAAAGAAAATAAAATGAAAACTCACAAAGTTCAAAGTATCAAAGAAAAAGGTAACAAACTTTTTATGTCTATTTGTTCGGTACATAGGACTATGTCTACTTCCCGACCCGTTCTGTGGATTGTGGCACGACGCTTTCGCTAGGCAAACTTTAACGCTTCAACTTGTCTGCTCTCTAAGAAATTTGTGTTTCGGTGTGTCTTTGGACGAAAGTCGAAAAACTTATTTCTGTGTTCTGATTCTAAGTCGCTCTTCAAACAACTTGTTCTTGGTTGAAGAAGAGTCCAAAAGTATGCGTGAATCTTGGTCAGCTATCTTGATGCGGTTTCAACACTGGGCGCTCATCTCTGCTTGTCGTCCGGGGCTCAAAACTTCTCGCCAGGGTCCGCGGCTGAACTCAAACTTCTTCTCTCCCGAGTCTGAGTTACTGGGCACTCATCTCTGCCGCCGGTGCGCGAACTAACTTCTTCTCGCCAGCTTGGGTCGAACGAACTTCTTCACTCAGGCCAAACGAACTGGCTTCTTCTGCCCGCTAGGGGGCGGACGAACTCGGCCCGCCGTCCGCGGCTCAATTGATTTCTGTCGGTTGGGGTCTCGCTTTTATTGACGCCGTCAAAACTGGGGTGGGTCTGTCGGCGCCAGGGGTTCTTCGATAATTCTAAATACGTATCCACCCTTCTTATTTCTGGTTAGGGATTTTCCACTCTTTTCCATTTTTGGTAACTCCTTTCTCCTCCCACTTTCTCACTGTGCTTCTGAGGGGCGTGCACTAACTTCCCCACTTCTTCGTATCGGCTTCTCACACTTACACTCTGATAGAGGCGTCGACTGATTTTCTTCGTGCGTCACGTGACCGCTCTCGGCCAATGAGGTCCTGGTCGGGTATCTTTCCTCCTCCTTCGTGCGTCATGTGAACCACTTGGCCAATGACGTCTTAGTCGGGCGTGAATAACCCGTGGCTTTGTTTTGGGAAAGAAATACCTTGCTTAACTAAAAAAAAAATTTAATTAAATCGCCCTTATCATGAGCGTCCGATGTGACACTCTCGGCTTTAACACGTGGCGTTTGATAAGCAGTTTATCGCTAATTAGACATGATCTAAGAAAGAAATTTTCCTAGCCTACCTGGCGTCTCTAAAGCAAAAATAAAAATATTTCATTTTCCTTTCGGCCCATGGGTTGATAACAAAAATCTTTATTATCACAGGGCAAACGTTTATTCTGTCAAAAGAAACAAAAACTTAGCCAGTGAAAACTTCTTGTGTGAGATTTTTTTAACACAGGGAAGACTGTCTGTGTTTCGTCAGTGTTCAACAATGGATTTCTTCTTTTGGGTGACATCCAATTGATAACAAAATTCCATTTTTCGTGGACAAGCGGAAAACGGTCAACGCTTGTTCGTAGGTGACCTAGATATTTTCGACATCAACTATAACCTTTTTCCTCCTCCTTTCCATCTCTTAAGCCGTGTGTGTGTGTGTTCGCCTATGACCCGTCTCGTATTACTTTTTCTTTCTTTCTTCTTCGTTTTCTCTTTCTTTCTCCCAAATCGCTTGAATGCAAAGAAAGAATTATTCTTAAAACCTAAAATATTTTTCGGCCTTAAATAATTATCAAATGGTTGATAAACCGTAAAAAAATAAATCATATATCTATAAATATTTCTTTCAAATCGTCCGGATGCATGGTGCCACACAACTAACGTCTGGCACGTTTTTTTTTCGTCACTGGTAAGCACTTGATCAAATGTAGGTATGTTGCTTTGTTTAGAAAGCAACTAGACACAGGTTGTCACTCGCTTGTTGGCTTGCAACTTGTGTGGGGTACCCACTTGTTGAACGCCTGCACATTCCTATGGGGTGCAAGTGAAGTCTAATTGTTTTATCAGAAACCTAAAAGCGTTCGGCAAGTTTATCACATGATTGGCTTCTGTTCTTGCTGTGTGGCCGCTTTTAGGGTATCATCATTCAGAACCTGTCTCCGGCCACTAATGTGTTCATCGCAAAAGGCCAGATCTCCTGAGTTGAACATCTGAAACAAATTCCTAGGTGTGCCTTCCCTCGCAGCATTATGTGCAAATATTTGACCTATTCAGCGACTTAAATTCCTAAAGCAGACACCTCCGGATGAGCTGCTTGTAAACCGCTATACTTTCTCGCCGCTGCTCATGAGCAATGACGCCACGCCGTCCCCACGTGAGGCACCCATTTGCGTTTCAGTGATCACTTCTTCCCACGTGACGTAAAAAAAATCACCAAGGACTTTTTGGGTTACCTTATATAAAGAAGCATGTTATAATCTCAAAATCCGTCATCTGTAAGCTGGGAAGAGACGCTTAGATTAAACATAATCTATTTCAAATAATCTAAATTTCAACAGATAGGAAATAACTTTATACCACAAGTTGCATTCCTTGTACCCAGGGGTCCAAATATTCACAACTAGGACTCGCCATGACAAGTGCACTGAGTCACCTCATCCTCATTCCTTTCATATTTCATTGGTCAGGAGGAAGTTCCACTCAGAAAGCTTCTTCCCCAGAACTTTTGGAACGTGGAACAGGGGAGATGATTCTTTGATCCCTACAAACTGAACCTCGTCAAATCCAGGGTCAATTGTTATCTATCCTACATATTCTGCTAATGAGAAAATCTTTCTCATCTCTGTACATGCCCTTGCAAAATCCCTCTAGATTGAGTGGCACTTAGGCCTTGTATAAGGTGAACAATATAAGACAAATAAAAAGCTAGGTATAAGTCATTGTATAATTAATAAAAAAGATTAGCTGGGCCAATATCAATAATAAAGTGCATCGAGTAAAGATCGAACTAACTTGGGCAGATTGTTAAACATTACTCCTTACCAAGACACGTAAAATCAATATATATTAATATACCTTGCATTCATCCTTAATCAAAGAGAGTAATCCAATTTAATGTTATCTTTTTTTTAAACGTTTCGTCCTATGCAAGGCGATAGTGGCATTAAAACGCAAAAGGTTACTGAATGAGAAAGACATTAGTGAGTAGAAAGGACAATAAAAGAACTAGTTTCCGGGAGATAGAAAACGACAATTGATACTGCACTTCAATTTTCGAAGGTCCTAGGGGGCAGGGAATGAAGAAACACGAAGATAATTCCATATTCGAGCAGTACGAGGAAAGAAACCACTAGAGTATAACTCATGGTTACGTCTAGCTATTTCAACAACAAAAATAGGAGTCCTAATTGCCAATCTACTACTACGCTTAAATTCTTACAATGTAGTAATGTGGAAAGTAATATTTATTTTGAATAATACAAAAATATAGCACAAGGCCAAAAAGTTGGGGATAGCAGAAGGTGGGTCTTCAATGTATCTTATCTTAAACGGTTACTGACCTAAACGTATCACAGTATTCCTATCACCACCATTCTTACCACTGCTACCATAATAACTCAAATTCTCTATGTAATCCTAACTACCTCCCATATTTGTCTGTGAAGGGGGAATTAAAATTAACAACATTTCAAAACGAAACCCCAATGAGGAAAACTCATCAGAGCAATTGCCATGAAAATATTTATACAGTGTAACCCGGATATAAGAGACCCGGATATAAGATAAACCCGGATATAAGAGAAACCCGGATATAAGAGAAACCCGGATATAAGAGAAACCCGGATATAAGAGAGATTTTCTCTGGTCCCAAATTAGGACCGGTGTTAATGTATATAAAATAGACCAAACCCGGATATAAGAGAAACCCGGATATAAGAGACTTCTCCGGTCCCGACAACTCTCTTATATCCGGGTTACACTGTACAGAGTTCAGAGATGGTGGAGAACGTTGGCTATAGCAGCCATTATTGAATACTTACTTTCATATTTAAAATTAGCAGATTGGGTACCTCGAGGTGGTGTAATGGTTAGTAAGCTTGTCTCGCTAAAGCAATTACGACTGAGTAGTGAGTTCGATCCTCACTGTGTGCCCCATACTTTCGGCCATGTGCCACATCTGAGCTACGCTTGGAAAATCCCGATTTAAAATAACAGGTTGAAATTCGTTGTTTCCACAACTTCATTTATATTTTTCAGAAAAGTTATTTGTGGGGTGGGGACTGAAATGTGTTTATAAACTTTAAATATCTGAAAACACAATGAAAAACTAATTATTTTTCATTCTGTAATTTTGCTTCCAGTTTTTTTAATAGAATTTTCCAGTGCTAAATTATCACAAAGAAAATTAATAATCGTGTTCGCAGGTTGTTTATACTTTTACAATATGTTTTCTTGATAAATTTATCTACGATTAATTTCAATTGTATCGTCATGTTCATAAAAAAAGATGACAATAAATAGACATCGTTGGTTAAAGCCTGCTTTTTATGTTAAAAAAAAACGTCAATTTCTGTTGGATTTCTTTTGATTCGAACAGATTTACTTGTAACTCTGTTTTGAGGGAAAAGTCATCAGAAGAATAAAAATAATTTTCAGGTTTTTGTTTCACTAAAACATTTTTGAGTCTTCCTGCTGATTCATGATTTTTTGGTGTCAAATTTAGCGCCCTTAATCTGCACTTCTACACCGACTGGGACCAACTAGAATCTAAAAATGCTCATTATTGATTATTTAAAACTGACTCAGAAGAAGTTATCTCAGAAAGTAATTATTGGCAAGTCCGATTGATGTGGTAATTTACAAAGTTTAGCTTAGTGCAAAATATTAGGCTACAGGGAAATGCCATAACAATCAAAGAAGAGGTGGCTGAATCGCCATTCCAACCTTCCTATATGTTATTGAAGGCTAGATAATTTTATTAGAGATAAACTGATTTGAGCCCACAGATGTGTGACCATGCAATGGCCGTGGAGAATACTACGGAAAGAATATAAAATTACAAAAATGGGTACGAAAATGAAGCTTGTACTTAGAATCAGAGAGGCGCATTTGACTTTGCTTTGAAACATAATGAAATAGAACCTGAGAATATGACATTCACTGGACATATTGAATATAAGTTGGTAAATTCATTTTCTACGGATTATCAACCCGTCGCAAGTTATTTAAAGCCAGAAAAATTCAGATTCTGTCATTTATTTTTAGATGATAATGTTTTGATTATACAAGTTTATATGGATTAACCTATATCTGGGGGAAAAGAGTTGGATCCATTGCTTTCCCAAGAGTATTTGCGCGTAAGTCAATCTGACCAACCAAAAAGAGAATTGGATCTCAGCTCTCCGATTAACAATTTCGAAACATTATCAATTTCACCAGCTTCAGCTGTTTTTCCCAAGCGGTCATCCATCAAGATATTGACCAGACATGATGTTGCTTAACTTTGGTGATCGTACGGGAACCGGCGTTTCGACGGGATATGGCCGTATTCCTTGAATACAAGAGATACAGAGTGAAATGACGTCCAAGCCTTCCTAGCAATGTCATGTAAATTGTTGAAAGGAAAATGACTGGAATGGTTACTAAGAGAATACATCTTACTTAGAACTATAAAGAGCAGGATGTTGTGGAGGTCTGTGTACTTCAACGTCCTGAAGAGATACGGTATATAAAAGAAGAAGATTAATACGGCTAAAACAGAGAGAAAAAGTTTATGCTAATGTTCTAACTAAAGAGGATGTACATCGTTGGAAAATTCTTATCTGATATCCTTTTGATCTGGACTTGATCAACAAATTTTGGCACAAGTATTTTTTTAATTTATCTTTTTTCATTATGTTTTCTGTTTAATATCTTTTGTATTTCACTTTCTTCAGAATAAGAAGAAAATATTTATTTCTAACAAATGCACAGATTAATGTTAGTTGGTTTTGTTTAGCGGTATATCAAACTCTATGGTTTATTTAATGCCGAAATTTAAATATTCTGAATGCAATATATTTTATTTTGTACACAATTCTATACTTTCAACTACAGATAAAATGTATTGCTGGTTATTTTGTTTAAGATATATTTTTGGTCATTTTAATATAAATATGAATTGTTGTTCCTTTTTAGATGAAAATATATTAATGTTACTTTTACTATAAAAATGTATTTTTATACTTTCATAGTGTTTTGTTTTGAGGCTAGATATTTGTCCATATCTAGTACCCTAAATGGTGCTACCACACTTGCTCGGGGTGACACTAGGAACAACAACTATTAAGTATTAGATCCACTCTCATCAAAACATCCAATCTCCCGATCAGCGGCCTTTCTACCGGATGTCAGGTCATCCCATAAGTTCTGTCCGAATTTTACCTTCTTTTTAAATGAACGAAATTTAAAGAGTATTTTATAATGCCTAATGGAGCTGAACATTATTTTTATGTTGAGATGCATTTAAACTGATCAAATATTATTTCAGAGAACAATAAAATTAAATTTTGTTTGATTAAAACCCTGCTAACATGGAAGTACCCAAGAATCATTTGAGGAACATAATGCTTTATGAGTTCAAGAAAGGAAACTCAGCAGCCGAAGCGGCTAGAAACATTCACTCAATTTATGGAGAGGAATGTGTGAATGAAAGAACTTGCAGAAGATAATTTGCAAAATTCAGAGATGGAGATTTCACCCTTGAAGATGAAGATCGAACCGGACGTCCAGTTGAGTTTAATGAAAAGCTTCTTGAAGCAGCCCTTGAAGAAAATCCTGCTTTATCAGTTGAGGAATTGGCAGTAGTTCTCAGTTCATACCATACAGCTGTTCATCGTCATCTTCAACAACTTGGAAAAGTTCCTAAACTTGGAAAATATGTGCCTCATGAATTGTCTGAAAACAACCTCAAATCCCGTGTTGACATCTGATCTTCTCTCCATTCTCGCTAAATTGTTTCACCTTTTTTGGATAGACTTGTGACTGGCGACGAAAAATGGATATTTTATCGAAATATTAAGCGTCGTAGACAGTGGCTTGATAAAGGGGAAGGACCCCGGTCACAGCCGAGAAGGGAACTTCATGGGCAAAACGTTCTTCTTTCAATCTGATGGGATAGCCAAGGAATAATCGACTTTGAATTCTTACCACCTAATGTGACAATGCTCAAATATACTGCCAGCAATTAGAGCGTTTGAACCAAGATTTGAGGAAGAAAAGAAATGCTCTCGTGAATCGAAAAAGGGTGATGTTTCATCAGGACAATGCGCGACCCCACACAGCAAGAATCACGCCACAAAAAGATCGAAGAAATTGGTTGGGAGAAAATTTCTCATCCACCTTATTCTCCCGAACTTGCTACTTCAGACTACCATTTGTTTTGTAGCTTACAGAATCATTTGGAATAAACAGCTTTTGTAACACAGGAAGAGGTTAAAACTGACATTTGTGAGTTCTTCAAATCAAAGCCAAAATAATTTTACAGTAATGGCATTAGTAAGCTTGTTAATAGATGGAAGGAAGTCATAGATTATCAGGGAAAATACATTGTTGATTGAATCTTTAATTAAATGTAACATTTGGTCACTTGTTTTCTTTATTCAAAATTCGGACAGAACTTATGGGATGACCTGATAGTTTATAGATCCAGGAACAAATTAATTTTCACATACTACTGTTCACAGAGGCACCTCCAAAAATCAATATGATAGAACCATGCATCTATTCTCACTGCTGACTTAGATCAAAAGAAAAGGCTTTTTTACAGGGTTGTTATATTAATTCTATATGATTTAATTCAGATGAAGTAATTGCAATATACTTGCTCAAATTGAATACGAAAGCATATACGATAGAGAAAGAAGAGTTATATATTTGGAACTTTTCAAAGAACATGGATTCAGTCATAGAAATAAATGGTATCAGCAAATACCTGATATAAAATATTCGAAGATTTAGACAACCACAAAGAGCAGCAATTCAAAGAAATAACACTAAAACTGATCAACATGAATGGAAAAAAAAACCTTCATTTTGGCGATGTCAGTGGATCCAAATGAGTGAGAATCTGAGTGAAAAACTAAACACAGAAAAAGGATAAAATGACCGTAGTCCGGCGTAGAAAAATGCAGACAATTATCATTAGAATACTGCGTATAATAGCAGGATCACTTAATACTCTGACAGATTTTGACAAAAGCCGTACGTAACTTTTTACAGGTGGAATCCTTTTAAATAACATTTCCACGTCGGGTAACCACGTGTGCTAAAATAGGACTTGACTGCCTGGTTTAGAAAATATCTACATGTGGCTTACAAATTGCTTGACTGCAAACTTAAGATACATCCGGCCATGATAACACCATTACTTCCGGTGATGAAGAGAGTTGCACAGTGCAACAGTTCTTAGGAGATGTGCCCAACTGGTTAAGGTCAGGTATATGACTAGTAAATTTGTAATTTTAATACCTCCAGTTAGTTAAGATCAGAAAAAAAATATTTCCTCAATTCTCCATCACTCGCTTTAGTATTCTCACTGTTTTCATAATGTTTTCGCATAGATTCTCTTCCATATTCATTTCTTCGATCTTTTCTGATCGTAACAGTCTAAGATGAATAGATGAAAATGTCGCCATCGTATTACACGATTTCTTCAGTTCAGAGATCGACATATCTTTCAATACATTAATTTGTCAACGAATGAAAATATAAAAAATATAACTCAGCTGGTTTTTATCTAAGATAGGGAGTTGTTTATTTTGGAGAGGTTGCTTGAGAGGGATTTACGAAGAGTTCTTGAAGCGAACTATTTCCCATATTCTTAGTATATGACAGAACATAACTTTAATGTTAAATACAGTCTTGTTTGTTCCAACTGTTTCAAAGTCCCATTGTGTGTGTGTGCATATATATATATATATATATATATATATATATATATATATATATATATATGCATGTTTCATTAAAAATGACAGACAAGGTACTACGGTTGAGCTTTTTATTTAATTTTTCTTGTGTTCTGACAAGAGATTTCTTTTCTGGACAAAGGGTGTGCAAGAACTGTCCGAATGTTTTATATTTCCGAGCGCTTTCGGCTATAACTTTAGCCATTATCAAGGATGATTCGATTATCAGCTTAGTTGAGTGTGTGCGTTCTGTGTATGTATCAGTGTATGGTAAGGATGTTTTAGTTTCCGAATACGGTTAGCATATTGTGGCTTTGTTCATAGTTAATACTGTTAAGAGTTGGCTTTTTCTTTTTTATTATTAGAGCTTCTATTATTTTTAGTCATTTTTGCAAGTGGATGCAGTTAATATATTTGTGTTTTCTACTAGTATGTTCCTAATGGGGTCGGGTAAATCTGGGTGTGTGTTTAAATGTGTTCTGTTGGAGCTGTGATCAGATAGGTGTAACGTAAGACGTCTGGATAAACATGTGGTTTTGTAGCCGATGTAATTATTTACTCTTAACAATATTAACTACGAACAAAGCCATAATGTGCTAACCGTATTCGGAAATTAAAACATCCCTACCACACACCGATACATACACAGAACGCACACACTCAACTAAGCTGATAATCGAATCATCTTTGATAATGGCTAAAGGTATAGCCGAAAGCGCTCAGAAATATAAAACATTCGGACAGTTCTTGCACACCCTATGTCCAGAAAAGAACGCTCTTGTCAGAACATAAGAAAAATTAAATAAAAAGCTCAACCGTAGTACCTTGTCTGTCGTTTTTAATGAAACATGCTTAAAGGAAGGATTGCTGCCTAAATATACAACTATCATATATATATATATATATATATATATATATATATAAGTGAACATAGAAGTCAACACTATATATATATATATATATATATATATATAAAAATGTGAACATAGCAGTCAACACTTAGAGGCGACAATGTTTCATGCTGGATGCAATCATCAGGCCTGAAACAGACTGTCGTCTCTAAGAGTTGACTTCTATATTCACTTTTATATTTACACACGCTCTATCTCTGATATTGACCACTTTATCCCATAAGTATAGCACATCTTAAGACTATATTTCTTCATTTATATATATATATATATATATATATATATATATATATATATATATATATATATATATATATATAGTTTTGAATTGAGATCAATAGAGATAAAATATGCAACGTATTCAGACAGAATGATAGGATAAAGATGGAATAGGTGAAGTTTATTAAATCTAACAGGTTTTACTTTTATTAAACTTCATCAGAAAATGAGATAAGAAGAAAAAGGAAACTCCGGTATTTTTATTTTTGCGTTATTTGATTTTTATTGATTAAGCAGCCTCCATGTGTATTTGACTTGTTAAGCACAATCTGTATAATTTATGTCGTTCCGATTTATATAATATAAGCCGAATTACCCTCACTTTGATGGGTGTCAGACATTTTTCGGTAAGAAAATGACGATTGAGTTTAAATCATACAAATAAAAATGATGCATTTGATTTTTTCTCA